CAGCCTGTAGCAACAGAGAAAGATCCAGGACAATCAAGTTATTGGGGCTCAATCAGGCTTAAGCTGGAATTAGTGCATTCAACCATGAAATTTATGGCCCTGAGTTTCACTTCTGCTTTTTATACACCTTCCACTTCCACAAAATGTTAAATACAATATATTATTTTTTTTCTTATTATAGAGAGGGGCCTGGCCATGGCATTGTGCAGCAGATAGTGATTCATAACATCAGCAGTCAATAGTACCAGGAGAAATTTGAAGGCCACTATGAGGTTCTACCCAAATCAAGCATACTTCAGAGTTATCACTGCACTTCTGAAGTTCTGCAGCAGGAAGACTGCACAGGGAAGGAGAGGCATAAGGAGAAAAAAAAACAGCCAGAAGGTGACCTGTGACATTGGTTGGAATGAATTCTTGGTGGATGTTCAGCCCCTTGTTTCCCATGAAGGGCAACACACACCTGTGTGCATCTTATGTCATTCCAGGTCACAGTGGCACGGTCAATCCACCCACACCATTGCCTTTTGATGGCCAGGGCAACAGCAGCCACTCTCTAGTGCAGAGGACTTCCCCATAGCATTATTACCATTTTATGAGCTCTATCAACAACTGGGTCTATGATCTCCTCCCCAATGGTATAGCAGCCCCGAGAATAGTTGTTGGCAGCATCTTCTTTGCCACTGATGAGTTGCTCTGGGTGGAAGAGTGTGCAGTAGGTCCCAGTCCTGATCTCATCTGGAAGAAATTGATTGAGATCTCATGATTGCCGCTAGCATTGTCTGCCAGGTTACTTGCTCTGGTTTAGATGCAGTTCCATACTGAAACTAGTAAACTTATTAGGAGTTTAGGTGGCCAACTCCACTCTTCAGGTCAACAAGGGTCACCCCAACAAGAGGTTTGGGAGGGGACCTTCAACAGCTTACCAGTGATGGTGGGCTCCAGGTCAACAAACATTGCTCTAGGCACATGCTTCCCTGAACTTGTCTCATTGAAGAAGGTCCCAAAGGAAGAGTCTGATTTGCCCTGAGGATCCCATGGAGGAGATGGTACCATCTGATTGAATCCCATGCTCCAGGCAATACAGTTCCCAACAGGAACTGCCCATCTGGACACCAGCCTGGCCAATGTGGATGGAAATACACTCTCTCTACATTAGGATGGAAGAGGGAAGAATATTATGAGTATGCAGTAATGAAGTCTAAAGGAGCCATTTCATTTGTGGAGCATACAGCCCACAACCTCTGTACAAGAGGAGCCTTATCCCAGCTTAGTGGCAGCCAGGACACTTTCTCCATAGCAGGCACTAAAGAAATACTGATCTAGCAGGAAATACACACTCACCCTTCAGAGAGTTGTTGCAGTCTCTCACTAAGGCAGTTGCAGAGATCAGAGCCTGGTGGTAGGTCCTTCTGCATCTCAGCACTGTCATCATATGGCACAATGATTCTGTCCCCAGGAACAGGCCACAGAGCTGATAATCTACAGCAATATTGTTGTCAAGTCAAACTGCTCATGATTTTTCTTCTCTCTGCTGTGAGGCAGAAGGCAGGGCACCACAACAGCCTTCTCATGTTCTCTCACAGCCCAACTGATCTTGGGCAGCAGTGCAAAGACACCCCTCCACTTCACAGATAAGTTTGGAAAAGATCTCTTGATGAGGAAGTTGGTGGGAGAGGTCCCTTTCACTGTTAGGACCCAGTTATTGACTTGTAGAACAGTTTCTCAACATAATTTAGATTAAGTGTAGTGGGTGTTGGACTCGATGATCTCTGGAGGTCCCTTCCAACCCCTACAATTCTGTGATTTTGTGATCCTGATCAGCCTTCTGGAGATAGCTAGAAGGGATCCAAGGAAGGATGAGTAAGGACTGACAGTTCATCTCTCTACAAGAGTCATCCCATGAAGCAACTGCTCATGGCTTAAGCTATACGGAGAAGAGTTCATGCATAGGATGTAGTTAAGGTTGAACTCTTTGACAGAGGAGACTTCTAGGAGGAACGTGACAAAAACAACAACAACAACAACAACAACCCCCACACAACCCAACATAACAAGCACCAAGCTTTGAGTTACAAAGAGACTAGAGATACCTGAAGAGGGTTAATAGAGAAAAGTCTTGTAGCTCAGGGCCTTCTTGGCTGAAGACAAGATATTTAAGATAGATATGATAGGAAAGTTCATACCCATCTTAAATATCTTGATCTACAGCTTCCCTAATGTCTGGTTTGCCTTTACTACCTGCTTTGAGTTATGGTCTGGGTAGGATTTGTGGCTGGAGATCCAGCATAACTGTGACACCCACTGCAGGGCCAACACATGGGTGCAGGTACTGTCTCCTCAAGGAGAGACCTTCACCCCCCCCCACTCCTAATCTATCCCATCTCTACAGCAGGGCTAGAGGGACATCCAGCTTTGTCTTAATATCACTACCAGCGCAACCTCCAAATTATCCTCATAATAAGGTAGAGGAGGATATGAAAATATCAGCAGGCAAGTCCTCCCAAGGTTAAGGACCCAGCACAAGAAGACTTTTTCCAAGGCTTCCACACTTTGTTGTACCCCACAGCTACTTTCCTTTAAGGAAAGCCCAAAGTCAAGGGCAAAGCACCTTCCCCCAGCAAGAAGGAAGACACCTCCAGTTCCTACCCCCTGCATAGCTGTTGAAAAACAAACCCAAGCTCCACAACTACTCACCATGACTGCAAACCACCAAGACTGCTCAACAAAAACCACAGCACCTAACTCAGAACATACCTGACTGCTCTCTTGGGGACTCTTTTATAGGGAGGTAGAGCCAGGCTTGCACTTAGAGGACTCCCTCCTGGCTCCTTTCCCTTCCTCTTGAACCTGTGGGCAAAGCATTCAGGTGTTTCTGTTCCTAGAAGGAAGTGAATGTGGGGTAATGAGGTACTTTGTAGGACTTGCACCTGCAGACTTGGAGATTCTTTGGTCTTTTAAATTTTCATTGCTGGTGGGAAATAGGACTGTTATGTGCCTCAGTTTCCCTCCTTTAAAATAGGGATAAGAGATACGATATGGCAAAAATTGATCAGAGATGCTAAGGCTATTGTGGGATTGATGGATGTCCTGGAGGACCTGAAACAGATGTGGGGAGAGGTGATGATATACAATATAACACCAGGACTGAGGGGCACCAATGAGACCATCACGCTGCAAATGGAAAATGCTTTTATTTTCTATACAGCATACACCAAAGCAAGAAACTCATCAATATGGGATATCCCAGAGGCTAACAACACAAGTTTTAAAATGTGAAGTACACCAAGGTGTGGGGTCTGGCTCTCTGAAGGCTGCTAAACCTTATTGTATGGTCCCCTGAACATAGTGTGGTCAACCTAACTATGGGGTTACCTACTGTAGGGAATCTGCTTTAGCAGGGGTTTGAACTCAGTGATCTTTAGAGGTCCCTTCTAAACCCTACAGTTCTGTGATTCTGTGAACCACTATCTCACCCCCATTTCTGGGTTCAGCAGTAGTGGTGGGGCTTGTGAAGGATGAGAGAAGAAAATGGGGTGTGATGTGGAGGTTAAGCAGATCTGTGGCTCCCAAACAACCGTGTTTTTCCTCAAAGAGTGGCCAGGATGTGGCACTGGCAGCAAGGGAAGAGGACAGGTTTTTGGAGTTGTAGGTACTTGTTAAGAGTGAGGGAGTTTCTCATCCTTCTTAGGAGAGAGGGGTTGATTTTACACCTGATGTGTTCCATGCCCATGTCACCAGGTGTGATGCAGGGGATCCATGTGGGCTGCTGAGGTTGGCTCTGTCCCTGGACACAGCCCCTCCTGGCCCAGCTCAAAACAGGACAGGATATCCCAGTAGCAGGATAGGGCATAGAGGAGTAGAACAGAACAACTCACGGGTGGGATGGCACATCCCATGAGCAGGGTAGGGCATACAAAGAGGAGGAGATGTCAACCTGGAACAAAATGGAACATCTCAAAGGTAGGATAGGACATCTCAGAACAAGATGGGACATCTCAAGGGCAGAGAAGGAAGTCCCAGGTGGTGGCTTCTGATGTATCACTATAGAAGATCCCTATGTCCCTGGTGTTTTGTGTTTCTGGTGCTCTACCTTCTGGGATATATGGGATACACCTTTTGTAGTCACCACTGGAAATCAGCTTGTTTTTTCCCAGCCAAGACCTCATAGATGTGAACACGGGCACCTTCCCACACGGCAGGAGAGTATTTTTGGCCAAATACTCAATGCTCATTACATTATACTGCCTGAATTCCTTCTTCAGCCAGATAGGCATGGAGCCTCCCTGGTTCCGGGAAGGGATTCAGGACCTACTGTCCTTGGGGAATTGCCAAAATCCCTGCAACATCTCTGGTTTGTGTTTATATGATAAAGGAGCATTGGCATGTGGAGGAGGAGAAGGAGGGTGAAGGGGATCCTGGAGACCAGGGGACGCCTGGGGGAAAGGATTATGTAGAGCTGGAAGGGAGCTGACAGTGGAAACAGAAGGATATGATGGTCTGAGTAGACCTACACTTGACTGCACAGCAAAATGCAATCGATACCTTTTGAATGCAATACCTGAAACTGTGTTCCATCCCTGCACAAAGTGTGGCAGGAAAGTTTGAATCCTCACCCAGCTTTTAGGAAACTGCTGTCTGAAACTCAGTGCTGCCCCTCCTAAGCCTTGGCTCCAGTTGCTCTCAGAACCAGGTGGTGGCTGATGGAGATTTCAGCGCTCCTATTTCTATCCCACTTCCTTGGGAAATCCGGCTCCTCTGACCTTCGCCTGCCTCTTGGCCCCTCTGGCAGCCTCCAGCCTCACTTGGCAGAGGCTGAGAAGGAGGATTAATTTTGGAAAGATTTGTCCAAACCGGTTCTGGCTGTGAGTGAGTCCCTCACAGTGACACAGCTGAAGAGGGAGGATCTCTGCTTTCCCCATCACTTGCCATCAGCTGCTATCTGCTGTCCCTGGCTCAGCTTTGAGCTTGTAATCATGGTCTGGTGCTAGCATACAGATGTAGACACCTATAGACAACCCTATGCTTTGGAAAGACAGCCTGGACAGCCTTGGGACATCTCTGGCCAAACCTACAAAGAGACAAGAGCATATCTGACCTTGCTTTGTCCAGTGAGATGTGTGTGAGCATGTGTCTCAATTTTCCATCTGTAAAATGGGCACAACCACTGTGTAGCACTGAGTACAGCTCAATATACTCATGGGGGATGGACATGTAGATTGCTGGGCCGTAAATGTAGATTTTTATGTAAAGATCCATATAGACTAAGGCTATAGAATAAACTCACCAGTCCATTCTCAACTCCAGGGTGCAGGCAGGAGGGGTCACTGCACAGAAAAGCTGTGGGCACACTGGTGTGTTTTCTGTTGGAGATGTGTGTTAGGAGCTGAAGATGCTGTAGGATCTGTGTATTTATTTGATTTTTGCTTTTTGATCAACTTCCAGTTCTAAGGCCCTGGGCTGGGGGTCAGCTAGGAGCCTTGGCTGCCCAAATATGGTCTTTCTGGAGATGAATTCAGATGTTTTGCCTCCAGCTATGTCCTTGCAAATGGCTTGTGGGTCTATCTGCCAACCCTTCAACCAAAGACCTGTCCTCTGTAATATCCCACCTGGAGCTCCCTGTAGCTATGACATGGATGGGACTGGTGGGAACTGTTTTGCTGCTCTTGGTAAATTTCTTCTGGAGGAAGAAGGCCAAATTTATCCCAATTCTCCCAATTTTCTCTCCACGTGCTGGGATGGAGGTCAGGAGAGGGTTTCATCTTGGAGGTGGGCTGTGAGGTGAAGAGAGAAGGGGATTGAGAGGAAGGGATATATAGCCCAAGGGAAAGCGGGTGCTTGATGATCTGGGGCTTGATGGAGAGTGGGTGAAGGGAATTAGGGTGAGCAGGGATGGTTTGGCCAGGGATATACATTGGGAATGAAGCACCTGGATCTGCATGGATGGTGGGGATGTGGATGGGGATAGATTGGACAACACGGACAGCCCTGCAGGTGGATCTGGAGTGGCTGGTTAATGTCCATGACTCTTGAGGTCCAAACTCACCTTAAGCCGTGGCAGAGAGGCAAAGCCATGCTGCATTCTGTGGTTGCTTATAAATGATCATTTGGACGAAAGGTGGTGGTTTCTTGGATGAAGGTTTTGGCGGGGAAAAGAGTGATTGCAAAATAACCTGAAAATCTAGAGTTCTCAGGAAGAGAAATTGGGAAATCTCTCTGGAGATCATAGTCAGAGAATCATTTGAGTCGGAACGGACCCTTAACTGTCATCTAGTCCAATTCCCTGGCAATGAGCAGGGACATCTATAGCTGGATCAGGTTGCTCAGAACCATGTCTAGCCTGACCTTGAATGTCTCCAGGTATGGGGCATGATCCTCTGACCAGACAAGGTTTTCCCTTCCCAATATAGTTGTGACTGTGTATGGGGGCAATCTGTGTTTGGAGACTTGAGAGAGAGCACGACCAGGGCTGTTTTAAGAAAGCTTGAACTGAAGGGAGCTTTTAGAAAGGCTATGGACCTGAATGAGCAGCTGCTAGAGGTGATGGGAGAACCAAGCATTGGAAACTCAACAGATCGTAGCTTTAATAGGGACCTTTCCAAAACAACATGTCCCCCTGCCCTGCTGAGGACACCACCCTCTTCCCCAATGCATGGAAATGTCCAGGTGAGGGAACAGGGGAGATTGGGAAGGAAAGGAGAAGGAAGAAGAGATATGAAACTTAGGTAGCTCTATGGGTCAAAAATATACAACACTGATATCATACATGGCTGTCAGTCCTCTCCAACCAGCAGGTTGAGGCCAGGTGTTGGCCCCGTGTGGTCATCCCTGCTCCAAGTCACCCCCTGCCCCACGAGCATCACTTCCGCCGCCCAATTTGGGCCATGAGGTGTGCATTGGCAGCAGCCTTCGCCCGCAAGTTCTTGGCTTTGGCGATGTTGAAGAGGATATTCATGATGTTGGTGGGGACGTCGAGGGACAGGGTGACTTTGGTGCGGCGGTCGCTTTTGGCACGGTTTTGGTAGGTCTTCCCCTTCACCTGTGCCTGGGAGGTGTATTTGTAATGGCCTTCCCCTGGGAATGTCCTTTTCCCTCTCTCTTCCTCTGCCTCTTCCTCTTCCTCCTCAGTTGCTTCCTCTGCTGGATGGTAGTCATAGCCACGCTTGTCCAAGACGGTGTTTTCCTCTGGGAGGCTCTTCTGAGCCTCGGTGAGGGCTGCGTTGAGGCAGCTGAAAATGGAGGCGGCGTTGTAGAGGCGGAAGGCCCTGCTGGTTTCTGTGGCACAGAGGAGGGCGAGGAGGAGCAGCAGCTTGGTGTGGGGCATGATGGTGGCCTGCCCAGTGGAGAGAGCGAGAGGAGGGCAGAGATGGGCGTCAGCTTCCTAGCAGGCAAGGGGCAGAGCACCACCATCCCCTCATCATCCCATGTCCCAGACTCATGGGTTCAACACCCAGATCCCAAAACCATAGAATCGTTTGGGTTGGAAGGGATCTTTAAGATCACCTACTTCCAACCCCCTTGCTATAGGCAAGGACACTTTCTACTAGACCAGGTTGCTCAGAGCCCCATCCAGCCTGGATTCACCTGGGTTCACCTCCCATGTTTCAGAGTCTTGACTTCACCTCCCAGATCCCAAAGTCTTGTGTCCACCTCCTGTGTCCCACAGTCCTGAGTTAATCTCCCTCATCCCACACTCCTGGATTCACCTCCTACTTTCCAGGGTCTTGGGTTCACCTCCCACATCTTGAAGTCCTGTGTTCTCCTCCCACATCCCAAAGCCTTGGGTTTGCCTCCCGTATCCTACACTCTTGGGTTCACCTCTCATGTCCCAAAGTCCAGAACTCACCTCCTAAATCCTCAAAGTCATGGGTTCATCTCCCATGTCCAAAAATCATGGGTTAATCTAACAAGTCTCACCCTGGGTCCCATCTAACGTTTGGGGCAAGTGGAAATGAATTACTTTAGGACATCTTCCTCTAAGGTTCAACCATGCACCCATCTGCTCATCTAAAGGTCTACAAAGAATTTCCAGACGGGGATTTTTTCACCTTACCGACAATGGTACAACCAGCCCCACGGCCAGCCCCGATGTCACCCTGACCCTGCAAGCACCTGGAGGTGGGCTGCCATTCCCAATCTTCTGGCCCCATCTTGTGGCAAGAGCATCTTATGGCAAGCAGGACAAGTCACCAGGATGCAACAGCATCTCTTGGGGGTCTTCTGGGTGGGTGGGTGTCCTCCAAAATTCAACCAGCCCCCTTATCCCCAGGAACTGTCATCATGGACCTGCTCTTCAGTCAATGAGTGTGTGAAATTGATGTCACTTTAACTGTCCTTTGCTGTCCCTTTGGAGGAGCAGATCAGGGCAGGTTCATCCCCTTAACTCTGCCCTTTCTTTCCCTGGCAGAAGGAGATCAGGGCAGGTTTATATCTTAAATCTGCCTTTTCACTGTCCCTTGCAGAAGGGGTTAAGTGTGGATTTATCCCCTTTATCCAGAGAAAAGAAGGGTGTGAAACAGCTGTGTTATGACCCAGGTAGCATTATCAAAACTGCTAATGCAGGATGGTGAGCAAAACCCTTCCCAGGCACATAACCCCCACATGAATGTGATTTGGGACCTGAAGCTCTTCTTCCTTCAGCCCCAAATCAGACATTGAAATCCCGAGGTTCAGGTTTTGCTTACAAATCCTATCAAGGCGAGCATCTTTTCTTTGCAGATGTCTTTTTTGCCCCAGATGATGCAGCCACCCCAGCAAACTCCCAGCAGAACGGAGGGGCTCAGGGCATGAATTTGGAAACTGCCATCCTTCCTCAACCCTTTCCTGCTACCCTACACATCCCCAGGCTGCTATTGGAATGGCAGGAACAGCTCTGAAAATGCTCACAGAGCCAGTGAGGCTGCTGGCAGTGAACTGCACTGATATGAGAAGCTGCTGCTGAGCATCTCCCTGTCTTCTTCACCTCTCCCTGGTATTTCCCAGCTGTTTGAAATGGGAGGTTTGGCTCCGCAGCTGGGACCTTGGCTGAGCAAAGGGAAAGGCAGGACAGAAATCAAAGCGAAGCAGCAAGGAAATGAAGCATCCTGATGAGCAACTCTGATTTTTAGCTTATTACTATTAATTATTATTTTTGCATGGGGGCTTTTTTCCCCTGCCTGAAAGGTTCTTTTTTTTTTTTTTTTTTTTTTTTAAATAGCTGGAAATGGGTCACCCTTTCCTAAGATCAGGAAGAAGAAGAAAAACTGCAGCAAATCTGAGAAAGTCAGAGTGAAATCTGCTGCTGCTGGAGGGTGACCCGTGAGTGGGTTTTGCTGGGACCCCGTAAGCAATTTCCAGGCATTATTATGGGATGGTGCCCATCGATGGACAACTCTACCTCTTGGATTTAAAAGAGAAAAGTGAATCATTGCAGCACGGCAGCTCCGGCAAAGTGGGGACAGAGCTGTATCATCCACAGCAGAGGTACAGCATAAAGCTGATCTTTTTCCCCATCAGAAATGTAAGTCTGGAATAACATAATACTGCAAATGAGACTTGCAGACTTTTAAACTCTTTCTATCTGATGTTGCCTCCACTTCCCCAGTGAACCTCTCCTGGGAATGCGGATTCCCAGGGCTCCAAAACCCATGCTGACCCGGTGAAGATAAGGCTGTGCCCTTCTCTCCCCATCCCTTTACCCACAGCAGTGATTTATATTCCCACTTTCTGATTTCCCAACATTTCCATACCCTTCCCCTGCCTGATCTCCCTCCAAAAATTGCTACAATAACCCCAAATCTATTTATTCTGGAGAGTCTTACTACTTTTCCCTATCCCATTTTTATTTTCTCTTGCAGAAAGACGTGGAACCTGATCTCCCGAGCACTGAAATATTTCAAGTTTGTGCAAACGAAGCTGGTTAATAAATGAAATCCAGGCACTCACCTGGCAGTCCTCGGTGCTGGGATGGGAAGGAGCTGCTGCGTGCGGCTCTCACTCCGAGCAGAGAGGCATCAGCGCCTTCCCCTCAACTTCTGCACCCTCTCTTTTCTTTTATTGTTATTAAGAGGGCTGTGATATTTTTTCTCTCTATGGAAACGCTTTTCCCCTCCCTCGTGTATATATAAAAATGAGCGATCACGGGGTTTGAGTCGTAACTCCAGACGTGGAGCCTTCGTTTGGGCATGATTGCATTAAAATGAAATCAGAAGGAGCTGGCGACGTCACGGGGCTGCAGTGCCTCTCCCCATTCAGAAAGTAAAAAAAAGAAAAAGGGGGGGGGGGGGAGAAAAAGACCTTTGAACCCGACAAGCAGGTGAGACTCACCCAAAAACTGAGCTGTCGTCAGTGCTGGGGCTTTGCAGGGTCACGTAGACACGTTTCTTCCACTCTTCCTGCACTCAGTGCAAGGATATTTTAAATGCAAAGAATTGTTGTGGCCCCTAAGGATGCCTGTCTAGGTTACCAGCAGTGTTATCCCAGTCATTTATTTTCAAAGTGTGGAGCTGGTGCATCTTCTTGGCTGGGTTTTGCCCACAAGCCCTGTCCACTGTCCCTCAGACTCCCCAAACCCACTGAGATCCAGCAGAACAAATTCAGATTTCTCCAAGGCTGCAACCAAGAAGAAAACCTCAGTCCATTGCCCCAGGACTCCTGGTGTAGTCAGTTCATAGTACCAGAAGTGCTGTAATCCTGGTGTAGTCTTGGTGCTACAGAGAGAGTGAGATTGCAGGTCTTCCCCAAGTTCTTTACTATGAAAGTGGTGAGGTGCTGGAAAAGGCTGCCCAGAGAGGCTGTGGATGCCCCGTCCATCCCTGGAGGTGTTCAAGGTCAGGTTGGATGGGGCCCTGGGCAGCCTGGTCTGGTATGAAATGTGGAAGTTGGTGACCCTGCCTGTGTTGGGGCGGTTGGAGCTTCATGATCCTTGAGGTCCCTTCCAACCCGGGCCATTCTGTGATTCCTATTGGAAATGAGGACTGTTCCATGAGGTTCTGGGATGACAGACCTCAGAAAGTCATGTTTCTGGGAAAGGATTCCTCCAAAACTCACCACAGATTGGATGGGCTGTGGGCTCCTGAATGGCTTTAAAGCCCATTATCTTTAATTGTCATTGTCTGGGAAAAGAACAAATAAAAAGAACTTGGGGAAAGCCCTCTGAGTCCCCTGCCAAAAGTCTTGTTTTCCACAAATGACTCTGAGTGGGCTCTGAGAGAGGATGGGGAGATGTTCTCACCCCTGGACCACACACCTGCAGTGGTCACAGGTGCTCCTTGGAGAAATAAAGCTGTGGATCTTCTTGGAGGAAGATCTTTGGGCTTTTTACCAGGCCCTTGAAGTTTCCCTTGAAGCTGAAATGTAACAACTGTCAACAGTAAGAGCTCCCCACTGCCTTCTGTCCCAGGTTGAGCGTTTTCCCCTTAACCACCTCCAGCTGTTGGCTGAGACACGTTGGCACCCACTGCTGCAGCAATCCATTCCTCTTTTCATCCTAGGCTTCTAACTTCCAATTTCCATTTCCCCTCCATCATTAAGACCTGGAAGACAGTTTTGTTATCCAAATCCTTGGAGCCAGTGGTTGTCACCAGAAACCAACCTGCCTGCAGATGTCAGTGCAAGGAACTGAGTGAAAAACTTCATTGGAGGGACTCCTTCCTAACAAAGAGAAAGGGAAACCACCACCTGGCCCACGATTCTCACTCTCCAGAAAACATTTCCAACCAGATTTATTGCAGAGGGATGAACTTTCTCTAAGGGCTGCAGGATCTCTGAGCTATTGAAATCCTTCATCCCATGCTTTGTGAAAGTAGTGATGGATGAGAGCTATTTCCAACTCATCCCTCGTGGTGGAGCTCCATTAAAAATGATTTCCCTTTGCTCTCATTGCAGACAGGAGAGTGCTGAATCTTGGCAACCTTTGGCTTCCTTGGGTCGTGTCCTCAACCTTGGTGAGGTGAGAAGGGCTGGGTCAGCCCCATTACCTGAATCTCATTTATCACTGGGGGCCAACTCCCAAGTTTTGTGCCTGGAGTGAGTGGTGAGGGCTTGGCTGGGTTTTATATCCCCTTGTGCCTCCTTGGAGAGACATGTTTGGCATCTTCTTGATCCCTGAGGACCGAAGATAGTGACAGTGGTCCTTGCAAAAAGCTGAGGAGACCCTTGGATCCTGTTGGGCTCAGACCACTGACAACTCCACATGCTTCAGAGTGAGTTAGGGATGATTCACCCACTTCCTTCCTCTGATTTTTTGGGGCTGAGGTTGGAAGAAGGGGGCTGAACTTGCAAATCCATGTGGGATGGGGACTCTTGGAGCCAAGTTGGATGATGAGTGCTTTATGAATGGTGTGT